ACAGAGGAAGGGAGGAAGAGTGTGCGAGGGGTGTCATACAGTGGTCCCCAAACATGTGGGGAGGCATGTTGAAGGGGGTCACATAATGCTTTATCTGCATGGTAGCCCAGCAAAACAACAGATTGCAGTCAAATGAAAAGAAAAGAACAAAGAAAGAGAAACCAAGTCAGAGCAAAGGAAAAGAGTGTGAGGCAGCGATATTGACTTGTAAGCACCGTCCGCTCCTTCGAGAGGAATCCACTTATTCCTCCCATCCATGGACAAGAGCGGAACAGTGATGGAGGGAGGGGCATATCCGACAACTGGCCTCTTGGGGACTGGAAGAGGGTTTTGGCAGACATTTCATTGCATGTCACAAAATGATCCATGCACCTGCGGGAGAGAGGGACCTTGTTGAGAGGAACACAATGCTTTATGCACATGCTTTTTTTCGGGGGGGAGGAGGGGGGGGAGACAGGATGGAAGGGAAGGGAGCTCAAAGGACAGAGGAAGAGTGTGCGAGAGGTGTCATACAGTGGTCCCCAAACATGTGGGGGGGCATGTTGAAGGGTGTGAAATAATGCTTTATCCGCATGGGGGAAGGAATGGGGGTGCCAGCCAATGCTGGAAGATGGAGCGGGTTTTCGAGGGGTGTAGCAAGACGCTTTACACTCATGAAGGGGGGAAGGGGGAGGATCAAGGGGTGCTTCACAATACTTTGCAGTGATTGCCACACACGAGTTGCAGCAGAGAGTGTGTGCAGTGTGTTGCCAGGAGGGAAAATGTTAAGGGTAGTGGCAAGGGGGGACTTGACAGCGGTTGGGTGGATGTTTTACACACAAGGGGCAAGGAGGGAGACTGCGGGTGGGGGGGGGGGGGGGGGGGGGGGAAGGGCAACGGCAAGGGTTTAGGACCAAAACCTAATGACCCCAGATTGCCTCCCTTTATGCCCTCTTACCCGCCAGGAAGAACAGAAACTATGTCTGAGTTTGCAGGCCTCTCTGGAGGGTCTTAATCAAGGCTCCCCATACCCGTAACTCCCAGGTCCTGTGAGACACCCAGCCCAGCAACCTCGAAAACAAAACAACGAAAAAAAAGCAAAAAGACAAACAGGTTTGAAAACAAGAAGATGCTTCCGCGGTTCACCGTACCATCATCAATGCCAGTTTGATCATACAAAGAAGACAACGGTGACAACCCCGTCGGATTGCCACCAGCCATATGCTGCTGCTTGGATGCCTGCTGGTGCACATGAGAAACCGGCAGCACCTGGTCTACCAAATTGGGTCTAAGTTCCCCGACTAGGCCATCGACCTCTGACCGGAATGGTTGTCTGTGTTGCAAGTTCACTCCCAGAAGCCTCCATGCACTCAGGTGTCCATCAGTTTGTAGCAGAAGATGAGCACGCAGCAAATCTTCAGCTGTCGAACAAGCTGGGGATTTACCAGGCTGCTTCCATGGTGGCGTCTCACCAAGACAGGATCTGAATCAAACCAAAAGACAAAAACAACAGATCAAATCAGATTGAAGGATAAAGAGCGCGTACGAGCAGTACAAAAAAGACTGAAAGATACAAGGACAAACCTGGCAAAGACCAACATTGTAAGGTTTATGCCAACACTGATTGGAAACATCCTTCGGTGACAGAGCAAAAAATTGAGGCATCTCCCCTATTGGAAAGAAACAAACATTGAAAGATACAAAGGAAAAACCAACAATGATAGGAACCAACTAACATTCACACAAAAACTGGAATCACGCATTCACACAAGAATAGTCGATCAATCCAAGAGAAACTCATCTGAACCTGGACGCCCTGTTGCCCTGAACGACATGCAACAAATGCCTGGGAAAACGATCCAGTCTGCAATGACTTTTCCCTGGTTGTAGCTGCATCTACCAAACCTTCCTACTTTGGCACTAAAAATCACACTGCTTGCGTCTTACTGTTCTTCGACTTCACAAATGGAAATCTACCCAGTGCATGTGGCTAAATGGCCCACCCATGAACTGGCTAAATGGCCGACCCATGAGCTGTTGATCAACAGATCTGAGTTCGGACCTGATACAGATAACTATGAATCACCTTCGCCGGTCAGTTCAATGATGATATCTCAAGGCTGTCACCCTTCCAAAAAAGGGACGGAAATGTGGCTGAAAGCTGTTTCTGCTTGGCTACTTTTACAGATATGCCTGTGTTTCCCCTGGGCCCACCAGGTTTCAAGTCTGACAATATCCTGTTCCCAAGTCCGAAAAAGTTTTCATGTCTATGCCTAGCTAACAAAGACTATATCTCATAGGTTCTGGGTTCTCACTGACCACAAGGCCATAAAACAAGTTCCAGGGCCAGGTTCTGGGTTCAAATCATACATGCGGCGCATGGACATGCGCTGCATCCCGCAGTGCGCGCGACGCGCGCACATCGCATGCGGTGCATGTACGATTCCGGGGGTCACCAAAAAAAATTGAAAGTTTTGGGGGGG